AAAAAAAAAAAAAAAAAAAAAAAAAAAAAAAAAAAAAAAAAAATGCGATTCAATTCAATTGAATTCAGTAAAAGTGAAACGAGCGATTATCGCTAATGCGATCTCTTACTCATATTTATTAAATAATTTAAATGGTTATTCAGTTCAATAAAAAGTCGTTTTTTATTTGAACCTCATAATCTTCAGTTGAAAAACTTGTCATTTAACAATGACGCATACGTAATACTACATTTGCGTAATTAAATCACGATAAAATATTACGTCAAGCGCTCATCAACAATTAACCGAAAAATCTTATCTTTACTTATTTTTTTTTTTTTTTATTCTGAAAATATTATATAAAAAGTTGTTTCCCTACTTTTTGCAGCATATCAACCGAGCACATTATTAAATAATCAGGATTACAAACCGGTTATTGGTACAACGGAATTTGTGCAACGTCAAACGTCCTCTAAAAATATATCACCATCGTCACCTGTAACGGTTACGGCAAGTGCTGATATCCTGCAAATACAGCAGAATCGTTTAAAAGCAGCGGTCGCAGCCGCAAACGTTGTCTCAACTAATTCTGCTATGCCTGAAGTTTTGCAGGCTGTCAATACTTTGAATAACAGTAAATATCATCCACATTATCATCATCATCATCACCATCATAATCAGCATCAACACTCTCATCAAAATCCGGGAAATATTCTAACGCCGGCAACAGCAGCCACTATGGCTATAAATAATGTACGCATGAGTTCTATATCACCTACATTATCCATGAATGGTAATTCAAACGAGGCCTCTAACGGTAAGACAAACGTAAGACGTTTTGTACCCATCAAATCTAATAGAAAACTCTTCTGTTTTTTCTTTTTTTTTTATCTTAGTGCACAGCCTCTCTATGTACAGTAATAGTCCGGTAAGTCCGCAATCTAGCGACTCTGGTCATAGCCTAAATGATGGCATGTCTCATGGCAAATATATGTCGTATAATGGAAATGACAAAAATTCGCAGAACGCCCAAAATAAGGAGTTGTTTACGCAGAGGAAACAGCGAGAATTCACTCCGGACTGTAAAAAGGACGATAGTTATTGGGATCGTCGCCGCCGTAACAACGAAGCGGCTAAACGTAGTCGTGAGAAGCGTCGTTACAATGACATGGTTTTGGAGCAACGTGTTGTAGAATTAACTAAAGAGAATCATGTTCTCAAAGCTCAATTGGATGCAATTAAAGACAAATTTAATATATCAGGTGAAAATTTAGTGAGTGTGGAGCAAATTTTGGCGTCCCTCCCCACCAGTGAACAAGTGCTGAGCATCACAAAGCGTTCCAAATTATCGCCATCAGCGGCAGTGAGCAGCTTTAATAACGCTACGCCTAGCAATCATCATGGTCATGGTATACTATATGGTTCCTCTTCGCCCACAACAGCTCTTTTACAGCAAAAGTCTACAAATGATAGTGCAGAAAAGGTGAACACACCTGCGATTATCAAGGCAAATGTTCAAAGTGCTTTGCATATACATCAGCCAACAGCCTTAGCTCAAACCGTCCAATCAATTCAACAACCCCTATATCCCGCGGCGGCTAATGCAACGCCGGTCTTTACACCCAACCCCCCAGTTAAAGAGAATGTACAGCCTGTCGCTGCATCCCAGCACCACGTAGTGGCCGCTGCCAGTACAACCGTTTCCTCTCAGGCGTCCACACCCGCAAACCTGCAAAACCTTCATGTCTTGCAAGCGTTAAATCGAAATGTTCGCTGCGATTTGGATAATTTGCGCAAGGTAGTGGCTGTGGTAGATGCCATCACAACGAGTAACGCGGCAGCAGTAGCCAATGGCGATTTGTCATCAGTAGGAAATCTGTACAATAGCCAACAATCCGCTGCTGCTTTATATGCAGCGCCACAGCAGTTAAGTACTTTATATAATCAGTTTGGCAAAGACGAGGTTGCGTACCTGCCGCCAACAGTTGAAACAACGGCAGCCGTAGTAAGTTCTAGTGCTGGCGAAGGAGTGTCATCGACGTCCGCACGTGCTAATGTCAATGTGTTGAATTTGTCACGTCGCGCAAGCACACCAACAACTTATGAGAATATGCTCTCATCTACCACACCATCGTCTAGACTCTCCTCTTCAATGTCCTCAGCATCATCAACTGGTGCCGCGTCAGGCGATGACGAACACGAGGCTGATCACGAAATGGTCGAGACAACGCATGAACTGAACATGGCCACGACTACAACCAGTCCTCATAACAGCAATGATTCGAACAATTGCTTACCCCTGAAATTAAGGCATAAATCACATTTGGGCGATAAGGATGCCGCAGCGACAGCTTTGTTAGCCTTGCAGCACATTAAGCAAGAGCCGATTAGCAATCGTGCTTCACCGCCTGGTTGGACAGACGGATCAGGTGATAACTCCAGCGATGAACGTGATTCTGGCATATCTCTATCCAGCCCCGAATGGGCAGCACAATTTCAACGTAAAGTCTTGGTAGGAGGTAAAGAGTCTTGCACCGCCTCGGCAGTTATAACGGTAACACCCTCCGAACGTGAACACATACTTAAATCGCAATTAGCGCGTCTGGAATCAGAAGTAGCGACAATTAAGAACATGATGATCTATTCCGCCGATCAGAATGTGGTTACAAGTGCCGATCTGAAGATCTGAACCTAATAAGAGTATTTAGATTACTATTAGTTTTGTTTGTTTGCTTAGCCCTTTTTTTTTTAAGGAGAGAGAGGATAGACATTAAAACAAGTTATGCAAAGGTATGAGTTTTTGAAATAGTAGTAGACTGCAGAGAGAAAAAGAGAGAGAGAGAGAGAGAGAGAGATAGACAGAGAGCGCGAGTAATATAGTGTAATTATGCTTTATCTCTCAAAAGTGTTTGTTAATTCTGTTGAAATGTTTTTTTTTTTTTTTTTGTTTTTAGTTAGATATAATTTTCATTTCCGTTTCTTAAATTTTGGCATAACTGTTTTGGGCCTGTTGGGATCTTCAGATGCCTAAAAATCACTCACAGATCTCAATAGATTTTTACAGCAAATTTTTAAATCACTTATGAGCGGTATTACTAATCGTTTTTCATATATATGCGTATATCTGCGCATATATATATTATATATATGCATACATATACACGTATATCTACGCACACGTAGGTATTTATAAATATATGTATATATATATATATATAAAGGGAATTCCATTGCAGCAAATGGTACATTCCCATAACTTGTCTTTTCTATTAACCTAAGGTAAAAATTCATTGTTCATTAACTTTATTGTTTCTTAAGAAATATTTATGTAAATGTTGTTATAAACAAATGCTTGCAAGCAGTTTTTGTTGTAAAGAGAAAATGTTCATTTACTTTTTATTTATATAATTTAAACTGTTGTCATTTAAGCCACAAATATTATTTATTAAGAGGGTTCGTAGAAACCTCTAATGAAAAAAAAAACAAAAAAAAAAAGAACGAAGAATAAACAAATAATTATGAATGTATATAAATTTTTAAATGTTTTAAAAAGATATTTCAAAAAAAAAAAAAAATATATATATATATATATGTATATATATATGTATATGTAAAGACTTAAAAGAGACCTCTTAACAAGTTTCCTTATCGTACACTTTAAGTGTATGCGCTTGTATATGTTTGTTTATGTGAGTACATTTCGTTTCATTTGTACCTTAACTTGATTATCAATTATTTGGTTAGCTTTCCTCTTATGTCCGGAAATATGGATTTCATTTGAAGAAAAAAAAATCTTTCAATTTTTTCAAAATGTATGATTAAAAATAACTTTTATTAATATGTATAAAAATTTTTAAATGAAAAAATTTGAACCAGTGTATGCTGTGCAAGTGAAACGAAATGCATTTATAGAACTATTTATGAAAAACAAATATGTTAAGTACTTTTAGCTTTCTATTGGAAATAGTTTCAAATATCAAAAGCTTAATAAAATAAACAAAAAAAAAAAAAAAAAAAAAAACTATTTTATATAAAACGTATTAAGAAAATAAATAAGTAAGAATTTAATTTCCTTTCATTTGTTGTCTATTATTCGAGCAGAGAAAATCAGCAGTAATATCTTTTCTCGTCCGTCCTCTTACGAAACCGATAACTCTTTCATTTATAACGCATAATATTTATCTGAAACTAACAATAATATGAAATAAGAATTAATTACATCTTTCTAATTTATTAATAAGTAAACGCAGTAAAAAGTTAAATAATAATTACAATAACAACATTTTAACATTTCGTTGTTGTCAAAAACGGTACGTTAAGTTCTTTGCTGTTGCAAGTAAACCTTTGAACGTTAAAAATTCAACGCAAAATAAATTGATATTTTATGAAAATATTTATATTATTAATAAGATTATGTCTATATGTATTGTAATATTCGTCATGTTTTTGTTTGCTGGTAATATATATGTATACACATATATATAAATTTTTTTTCATTTTCGGTAAAGTGTTGTAAAAATTTATAACTATAAAGAATTTTTGTATTTGTAGCTGTAGAAAAACAAAACTAAGAAGAAGAAGAAGAACTAAAGGATTTTATGTTATATTTTCAATCATTAAAAAAGAATATTTGACACAAAATAAATGCAGTTTTATTAAGCACAGCTGTGTAAGACATCATTAAAAACATTTTCCCCAGAATTGACTCACGTTCCCCGAAGAAGTAACTGCCAAGAAGCATTCATAATATTAAAGTAAAAATTTTATTCATTTCATTCATTTAATTATTACTTTTCTCAACACTGCCAGTCGCGATTAACTGACCCTACATCCACATTTTTCTGCTTTAAAGAATCTGCGATGGATTCTGTCCATGACATGGCATGCCAAGATCTAGGAATTAATAAGCTTTTAGAAAGAATTATTGTATCTCGTCAATTGTAGCGAATGTCAAGTGATTGTCGTCATGACAATTATGATAAGCGAATGAACAAAACGCTTTGTCTGAAAAATTTGCTTCAGTATACACGTTTTACAATGCCCTCGCAGCAATCAGGCACAGAAGGGCGTAGACTATAACATTGTAGTCAATGAAAGCTTTAGTAACGATTTTGTTTACCCATTGCTCTCTGGAATCGCTACTTGGAACAAATTGGAGGAATTTGCTTTAGTCTTTGGATAAAAGTTCTTTCACTGGTTCGGGTCTCTTTACAAAGCTACACATTTCGTAATTACGCGCTATTGAAGGGAAAAAATAAAATGATTATAAAAACTAGACAAAAATAAAAAATATAAATTAAGGGAAGGACAAAAAGAAGTTGGAAAATATCTAACTAACTTTCACACAATCACAAGACTGCAGATATTATTATCTCACATATTCTCCATTTATTTATTTATTTTTTTTTAATTTAACGACTAAATAAATACTTAACATAATGAAAAATTTAATACGAAATAATAAAATAAGATAAAATATTATTATATAGTATCGGTTAATACGATTTTTGGTTAACACACATATAAAATTGTGATTGTCTTGCACAATTTATGCACATTACTTTCCCATTTGAGACATTGAACAGTAGCAGGACATTTAATCTGGCTTTCTTACCATAACTTCGAACGTAATATTCACAGTGTTTTCGGGATGTGTTGTAGGGAAGCATCGTACATCAACGGAATTATTCGGTTAAAAGAGTTGCCCGATAATATGGAAACAAAAAGTTTAAAGGATTTAGCTGAGGTAAATATCTGAAGATTTGCCCTCGAAAAATTTGTAAACTCGAAATCGCCTTAGAAACAAACCCCAAATTGTATGTAAATTCTTATTTTATGGATATTAAGTATAATCGGTACTCTCATCATTTCTTCTTTTGTAGTATTTTTCAATTAAAAACGTCAGTTTTCAGGCAAACATTTTTTCCGAATCTTGGGAAATAGGAAATGCTAGGTTTAATTTTTAAATTGAACAAATTCACAATTCTCAATCGTTGAGAACAGTTTTTCAACTTTTTAGAAACAAGTCAACATGCTAAAGAAAGCCACGGCGCATCATTAAAGTAAGAGAAAGAAAGGTATTGTAAGGAAGGGGTTAAGACAGAGGCTCGGTCGGAACGATTTCCAATAGCTTTCTTTCTTGGGTGAAAATACCAGTCAGCGAACCAAATGTTCAAATCAGAATATATCAAAAATTGCGCCCATTAACTTAAACACAAGAAACAGCACAAACAGGTGGATGGGACCATATTTCAAAAAACGATCCGAAACTGATCGGTATAATAAGAGATGGGTGTATCTAAAGCCTTTCTTGGTGTTACATTCAAGATGGACAGACGGACAGACAAGTTTACAAGTTTAGATTCAGGAAGCGATTCTGAATCAGTATGACAAAAGATGGGGATATATGAATCATCCCTTGGGGTTACAAATGTCCGTAGAAAGTTAATATATCCTCGTACCACAACGGACGCAGACTATAAATCTGCTTAGATTAACATGTCGAAGATATTCTACGTTATTCTCCGCAGAATGTTGTTTTGTATATACACATATATAAAAATCGAAAATCTTGCACAATTAATAACTGTAATAAGTTTTATACGATATATATATTGTATCCATATTATAAAGATCTTGTGTTAACTTAAAGATTTCAGAGATTTTAACAGCACATATATATTAACAGGGACACAGATAAAATTTAATTTGTTACGAAAACATAATTTTTAGCAAATTTTACTAAGTAACGTATGCCTTGAGTATATAAATTTCTTTGACCCACTCTCTGTCATTCTTCATTTCGGATTTTAGAGATCCAATAGAACTGGTTTGGCCTCTTTTGCACATTTTAATAACGACTCCATTAATTTCAAAAATCCAGTATCCTTGGGCTTTTCAAGACCTCTTTGTATGCGGTTTTTCATAACAGCAATGAATTCACGATTACTTAGTTGATTATCATCTAGAACGTGTTAAAAAGAGAGGGATTTAGAAAACTCTGTCTTACTTACAAGCGATTCGTACTCACTGTTATCATCGAATATTGTAAAGACCACACTAATCACATGATCCGATAAATCAACTTTGGCCACCGTTTTAGCCACATGCTTGAGCGTAGCCTGATCGATGGAAGCACCGGCAATATGATAAAATGTTAAAGCCGTATCGACATCGGCGATGTTATTAATAAAGTGAAAGAAATTTAAATAATCCGTTTTAGTGATGCCTAAGCTGTTCTCGCGGAAACGTTTTTTAACGCGTTTCAGCTTGCGTTGGCGCTTTTTGGCATTTGAACCGGCATAAGCCAACAATAGCTCGGCAAAGTCGACTTCGGTAATGCAACCCTTCTCATTGGGATGCTTACGCTCAAATTCCAAAGAGAGAATTTCTCGTTGTAATTGTTGTTGGAATTCCAAGAACTTAGTAATCGTAAGTTTCTTATCCAGATTGAGGCCAAAGAAATAGGTGATCAAGGCCGAATTAACACCCTACACCAGATCAGAAGCGCGTAAACACAATTGTGAGCAGAAAAAAAAAAAAAGATAAAAAATGAGTTAACAAAATCATTATTAAAAGGAACACAAGTGATAAAGTCGAAAATGCAAAGCAGGCACGACAAAAAAAGCCTCAGATGGTGCTTATCGGTAGATTAAATTTCAGTAATGGTTTGCATGTGATTATGGTTCCCAAGCATCACAGTGAATTGATTCGAATGTGTTGATCATGACATATGTGTAGAAAAATGTGTTTTTTTTTTTTGGTTTTTTTTTTTAATTTACATTTAGATATACCTTAGTAGACTTTTTGATTTTTGAGCGAGAGAGTATCAACAAAAAGGTGATATTGATTGTTAAGTTTACATATACACGTAGAATTAGACGAAAAAAAAAAAATGGATAAATAGAATAGGATTGAAAATTTTAACAGTTAAAAATTAAAAAAAAGGTAATGTTCATTAGTTTCAAAGAATTATCATTAAGACAAAACAACGACCATTTTATAGATATGTACACAAAAGATGATCGATTGGATGGAAAAAACTTACCTTAAAAGTATTACCGGTATTGGCATGATCGCGATGCCGACTGCCAATACTGCTTTGCTGTCTCGCCAGGTTAGCAACTCGTTCAAATTCTTCACTGTCTACGTCGCCGTCCCCATTCAAATCAAACATTTGAAAAGCAATTTCAAAATGACGACGTGACGCTGAAACATATATAATATCGCGTATGATACAATATATATGAAACTCTTTCAGATAATTTGATTAGGAAACATGTGATAAGGAGAACCGGCCTCAACGAATGACACTGAATCATTCGTTATGTTACCTGATATGAAAGGACTCTCATTTCATTTAACCCGCTTAAAATCCAACTTTGTTGCAAGCTTTAAATGAGTTCCCTTACACGAGACGGAATTCGAAAAAACCCACCTACGTTGCCCAAATAGGCCGCAGTTATTTCCTATCTAAAATTCTATTTCTTCCTAAAATATTACAAATGAAACGGTTTTGCAACACAAAAAGGTTTACTTTTCGTAGGAACAGTTATATACGGGGGGGTTGAAAAAATCGTTTACATAAGTTTAGAATAACGAAATGATATCACATAGCGATTTTTGTCGAGAAATTTTCGTGTTCAATTGTTTCATTTTATGACTTTTCGAAAATGTGGGGTAATCGTAATCTGAACCGTGGTTTGTTCCAGTCCATTCACAATAGAGTTCGTCCCTGGACAAAAACATGGTGTAGAAAATTCTATCACAATAGCCCAAAAATATGCGGCCTGAACGTAGCAAGGAAAAATACTTAGAAAGGCTTCAAGCGGACAGACATAATTAAATGGGTTCAGAAAATGATTCTAAATCGATCGATGTAATAAAATGAGGGTCCACGTTAAGCCCTTCTGAATGTTTCGTACATCCGTCCATGCAAATGCCACAAGTGATGTAAGGTGTAAAAATTTATATATCCCCTGTCAAGAAAGTCTGCCAAGATGTAACAAATGGAAGCTTGTTAGTTAATCACCAAAATAGGGGCGATATTCTGCAAGAATATTGTGGCATTTGTGTGCCACTCACTACGTTTTCTAGTCAACGGAGCACTTTCCTAAACCATGTCCTTTTCATATCCTACATCACTTGTGCAACACCCACAAGAATTCGCAATAGACACAGCTTCTGTTACACTGAAGTTTTTCCGTCCGACCGTCATTCTTGTTCTCTTATGTCAAACCTACACGCAGTAATTCTTGAGATATTTTGATCAAGTTTAGCACAGAGACATGTTTTGCCCTAAGGGCGATAGTTATTGGAAATGGATGGGATCGAATCGCTTTTTCGACATTATCCATATAACGCCTTATGTTGGAAAATCGTTATATGTGTGACTGTAGGTGGACTTTGCTTCACTTTACTGCTTTTCTTTTGTTCCAATTTGCTTTCAAAGTACCAATCGGACCAACTCGTAAATATATAGCCTCAAAATGGGGGAAAAAACCTACTAAACACTGTCCTTTCTTTAGACATAAAGAAATAACCCGCTTCTCGTCAAAATCAAATAGTAAGTCTCCAACTCACAATCGACACAGTGATATACGAGGATATAATTGTTCATTATCGCGGTCCTTCTCTAGCAATTTCGTTAACGAAATTTTACTGCCGACAATATATGCAGCGTATGGAGCAAAATTCTCAACATTAACTCAAGCAAGGCCGACATAAATCGTTGTTGTAGCTAAACGAATTCACAAGTGGCTTTTTCCTTCTGTTCACGAGATCTTAAAATTAATTACCTTGAGTACGGTGAATTGAGCGATGTTTGATTGAGAGATGCTTACTAAGGAAGAGCCGACTAAACTCATAGGATTGATTATATAAGTGGATGTCAAAGTAGTTAATTTCAACGAAGGGCATATTTAAATAAACTTCACATGTAATAAAGATTCACGATGGTGTGCAATGTTTTTCTCTTTTTTTTTTCGTAATTATTTTTCCTGTAATCCGCAAATCACTTTTTAAACTCTTGTGATTGTTTGCAGTGCATATATTATGCACTTTTGTGAAAGATAATCTCAACCCGCAGCATTTCTCTTGAACTTTATCCGTTTAATATTTAGTTTATAGGTTCTAGTACTGCCCATAATACTCCCCATGCGAATGCTTGACTCAAAGCAATAATTTCACTTTCGATTAGAAAAGCTATTTATAATTCTCAAAAAACATTTTTATTAACTCCGCCTGAGTTGCCAAAGGCGAGCAAATTCGACTTCAATGCAACTTCAATGGTCGTGAGTTCGAATCTCAAATGCGGTAGAGTTTTTAATAAAAGCCGATAGCCTTAGATGCTAGTACTTTTAAGAGTTTACTCTTACAATTTATTTCTCTGGCGAAATTAATAATAATAATAATAATAATAATCATTCGGCATTGCTTCTGCCTACTAACTTACTGTTTCACTATTTTTAAAAATCGCCAATTTAAGATAATTTCCATTCCATCAGTTGCGTATAAACTTCAGAGGTAAAATTTTCGCTAATATTAATTTTCAAGCGTATGAGATAATTGGGATTAACGACCACAAGTTTTACCAATTTATTCAATGGAATTTAATTTGACGGTATTTCGGTGGGTAGAACAGTGAAGTAGTGTAGTTTAGCATCTGGAGCCCTTTATAGGAATTTTGACGTCAATCTCGTTTAGAAAGATGGCGATACTGTCTTCTCTTCTATAAGAGCAATTGCTTTTGCGCTGATTGAAACTTGTGGGAACAGTAACTAGCAGACTAAACTGCAGCGGAATGTTCCCTTTGGCGAAAACGTTTAGAAAAGCCCTTCCTTTGCTAGTAACGGACTATTACCGAGTATTGAAATTTCTTTCCTTTTTTGTGTTCTTTTTTAGAGAGGAGAACTTGGTGCATACAAAATATTCGTCCATACAATATTCGTCATTATAGCATGTCTTGATTCTTATGAGATTTAATTGTTGCCTTCAAGTTTTACCTCAACTCGTCTTCATTATTTGCCAAATAGTTTTCGCAATCCCATTAACTCGCTAGTATATATGCTTACAACTCATTGTTTATTCCCTTGAATCGTTGTTGCATTTAGCTTTCAGGGAGCAATTGTTTCACTTTTCACCTCTCATCCATTTTTAGGTCAAACATTTTACGCACAATCGACACAAGTTCTCTAATTAGCACTTTCTTAACACAATGCCTCACTACAAGGAAGTTGTTCAATCCTTTAAAGTGCCTTTTTAATTAGCTCACTTTAATACTAATATATTTCTCACAAGTGAGCGGCCTTTTATTATCATGAATTAATGCTTGAGTTTCCCGCTCGACAATACTCTTTAGAAAGTATCCTTTAATTTTACTACAAACAATGATGAAATGAATTTTAGGAAATGCAAACAATTGATGGGATTGCAATAAAAAAAGAAAGAATTATAGGAGAAAAGATTCAATGCTGATTCAAAACTGATTAAATTTGTTAAATAAAATAATAAATTAGTTTTTCTTTTCGAAAGTTGTCGATTAAACGTTTCTTTTGCTTTCACTTCTTTGCATATAAATGCAACAAATGTGATTAAAATGTCGAATCAAAACAAACGAAATAAAATTAAACGGCTGAGATTGGGGAAAAATCTAAATCTTGAACAAAAAAAATAAATAAATAAATAACATAAGCGTGAAGAAGAGCGAGCGAATCTTTGAAAAAAAAAAATAAATAAATAAATAAAAATACAAAAAAAAAAAAAACTGAGCTCAGGCCTGCGCAAATTAGACGTTGAACTGATACAGAAACAACGTCATCATGCTATTGAACGTTTTCTCTTTATCTTACAAGTGGTACAATATGTGATGAAGGAAAACGCGCGCCAGGATATTGCAAAACGATTATTCGGGAAAACATTAACGCGAACACAGCAGTTTTTAACGGACTGTGAACGAGTCAAGATTGCAAGAAGAGGATAAACGCGGAAAACTATACACAATTAGTAACAACTCATCAAAAAGAGCAGTAGTGTGCCTGTGTATATGAGTGCGTGTGTATTGTAGTAGTGAAGTGTGAGTAAAATTAAAACCAAATAAAGCAAACACGCTACAGATTTCTTCTACAGGTGTAGAGAAAAATGTACGTTTCCATGGCAAAAAAAAAAAAAAAAAAAATTTAAAAAATTTCAACGAAAGAAATAAAAGAAAAACCACAAAATTTTGAATATAAATGTTGCTTACACGCACCGTAGGGTAGTTACAAATTGCCGAGAAACAAATTTTTACATTTTTTTTTTTTTGCATTTTGAAATGTTTTTATTTCAATCCTATACAAATTTTCCATTTGACGATATGTTTTTAAGCGTAAAGCCATTATAAAGAGATGTTTTGTGTTATATGCAACGCCCTATATTTAAAAAAAAAAACAAAAAAAAAAATCCTTTTTGGGCACCAAGAAGGGGTGTTTGCAAATTTTTCTCACTTTTTTTTTTTTTTTTTAATATGAAATAAAAAGGAAAGAAAAAATGCTATAAAAGTTGCCTGCGTCATAAGTTTGTATGTAAGTTTGTTGCCAAGCGCCAAAGCAAAGTTTATGGCGTTTAAGCGTTCATTATGTTATGATTTAATGAAGGACCCTCATCGCCGCTCCCCTTAACTCCCCAGCAACACTGTCACTATCATTTTAATAGCCATGCTTATAAGTAAGAGGGAAAAGTGTAGGCATTTGTTTCTGTATACGGCGCTACAAGTGTTTCGTTAGCAAGCAAAGAAAAAGGAAAAAAGGCAGATACATAATAAAATCTTTTTAATGCTTGAAATAAAAGGACCAACAACAACAACAACAATAACAATAACAACAACAAGTGTGTGCATATATACATAAATGTACGCGCTTTTTCCACTTCACATATATTATAATGAGTTGTAAACAATGGCCTGCAGTTCAAGTGCAGCCTGCGAAAATTCTTAATTGTTAAAAAACAAAATTATTGGTTATAGGAGGAAAACGCACTTCGAGCAAAGTCGAAATTTGAAATTTCTTATATTTCATATTACAAGGCTTTTGGTGCATGGAATTGTTTCTCTTTTACTTTACTGCTGTGTAAATCCCAAGTAGTCTATGGTAAGAAGTAATATGGACCTAATAGCGTACACTATCATCAAGTATTAATAGACACAGAAGTGAATTGATCAAATGTTGTATTTTGAATTACTTAACATATGCCTTTTATTGCGGCGGCTTTGTATAGGAATTTCAACTCATTTGTAGTATCCAGACAGGTAACTAAGTAAGTAACAAAGAAACCGCTAGTCAATGATTTCAGGTCAATAAAGTTTCATCTCTCTGTCAGGCTGTTCTTGCTGCCTTTAAAACCACCAAATTTGGAAATATAAAGTACACGTAATATCAGATTTGATTGACGTAGTAAGCAAAGAAGAAGAAAATATTGCAATTAATTTTTGTGCTCCTGTCCATATGTAAATCTCCTTGCAATATCTCTTCCATCAAGTTTTAAATCAATATGACCTTTAGGCTGCGAACTACAAATCTTTCATCTTTGCGATCGAGCTTGTGAGATGAACATATCGATTCTTATATTTGGTCGTGACAAAAGTGTTTGCGGCGAACTTTACATATATCTGGACTTTTCTTCGTAACAATAAGTTCGTACGGATGCTGCGCGACAATTGACGAATCTAGACGATTTATACCATTTATTATTAACGAAAAATCTGATACAATGGTCCAATTGTGCCAGTGATAGTCTAAGTTTAGATTCATTTCTTTTGCAAGCCAGACCTTGTAATCTTAACAATTCTGATAAAATAAATGGCATTAAAGTAGATTTCAAATCTTTAGAAGAGCTTGAGAGAGCTTAAAACTCGCAAGACCAGAGGTATACATTTCACAATAACGTTAACGGGAAAATAGTCTAAAAAAAACAAAACAATAAAAACTCCGAAATCAACAAATCCCGTCAGTCCATAACGCGTTCGTTGTGGGCAGGCATGACCTTATCTGAGAAGTGGAAATGACTAATCGCTACTCTATTATCATATGGTCTGCGCTTGTGTTAATAATTGTAACGTTTGTGTAGATAATGTTAACCTTTCAAATGCGTTAACATTACATAACATTGTGACGCTTCTGACGCTACACTCGAAATACAGATTTTTCCATTGTTTTACGAAAGTAGCATCTCTAAATATTATCCTACGAACTTATTGATCGACGTCGCAAGTATATATGTCCGTAATCAAATTTGATATTTAACTCTCAGGCCGAGTGTCGTGGTTTACGATTTCGGATTATCGAATGTATAAGGATTACTACTCCACGACTTATAGAAGGCGAACCACATTGAGATACCTATTAAGTCCATAAAAACATGAACAGTGACAATAGTCATCTGCAAGGAACATATATATCTAACATCTCTAAGCTTCAATTTTCTTAACTCTCTATAACATATAGCTTTTATTCCCACCACTGTAAGATGGGGGTGTACACCATTTTGTTTTGTTTTCATAATGTATGTAAGACCCAAAAGGAAGCTTCGGAGATCCTACAAAGTATATATATTCTTAATCACTGTGAAAATCTGGGTTGATTTAACCACATCTGCCCGGGTGTGTGTCTGTGTGGAATTGTTAGCACTCTTCTGGTCGCAAAAATTAAGATATCGCCTCAAAATTTAATAGAAACATTGGAATGGAATGGAAGCCAGCAGTAGAACAAAATCTGAACGCAACTCCATTTTTTGTTAACAACAACTTGTGGGTTTTGCTCGTCACTCAGAAATTATAAAAGGTAAAAAGAAGAGATTTTCCACATACACTTTACGAAACACTCTACTCTGTCTTTACGTACAAAAAAAGGAAAAAGTCGGCCATGTCCACATAAAGTTATAAATGATTGCATTGTCCTCTCCTCACTTTTTCCAGGTTTCATGCTTATTTATGATATCGTTTCCCAGATAGTTCAAAAGCAAGTTTCTGCTTTTTCCAAACTGCGAAACGAATCATAGGTATATTGAAAAATGAGATCGATTGGGTTGTATTAGGCATAGTGCAAGCCCCCTCAAACTAGCAAAGACAACTTGCTCTTTGCAATTCCTATAATGAATATTTGATTTTATCTCCTAAAAATAGGCAACAAAATTCATTTCTATCGATTACAATGCATATACGCATGTATATGTGGTACGACAGGCATATACAAGGTTCAATAAAGTTAATAATCTTCTTGCTGGTTGCCGTTTTCTATGTAACATTTCTGTGCCGCGAATCGCAAACCGCTTATGAACTGAATAAAGTGAAAGCTGAATCGTCAGGTGTTGTGCATTTACAGCCGCAAACAGGGGTAATTCAATCAGTAATATTTAAATATTTTAGCCTTAATAATTCCCATTTAAGTCCAAATTTCTCAATCTAATACAGAGTAAATTGAAGCCTCCAATTCCGAAACTTGACTCAGTGGAATTACCAGGAATTAATAACGTGATAACAACATTCAATCCAGTGTACGAGTATTCAGAGGAGATACACGCCGCCATCGAAAAAGAGTTGAAGCAACGTAATTTACATTTGCGGGAAGTCTGTGAACGCTATCAATTGCAATTTGTCTATCCACCGAATCCGCGGGAATTTTTCATATCACACGGTCATAGCTTAATATGGTGTAACGTATTTAAGGCAGCTAGTAGCACATGGTTGTATTATTTTAATATATTAGGTAAGTGAAAATGCAATTACTGTTATCTACTGTTACTAACTGTTAAAAGTATATAAAAAAATCTTTTAATTTTTCCCTCTAGGTGGTTATAATGTGAAATTTTTGCAACAAATTGTTTATCAGCCGTTAGAGTTGGCCCGTAAACGTTTTCCTCGACCAGAACTACCGGAATTGCTCGAAAGTCTTCCCTATTTGTTATCCTTTCTTTTTGTTCGTGATCCCTTCGAACGAATTGTGTCCGGATATCGTAATAAACTGGAGGATTGTAAAAATAGTTATTACAAGTCTTTGGCTAAGCGCATAATAAAACGTTTCCGTAAACATCCAATCGCAGGACGAACAAAGAAGTGCCCCACATTCCAAGAGTTTGTGCAATATCTAATTGAACAACATAAGCAGGGGAAACCATTTGATGAACACTGGGCTCCCATATATAGCTTTTGCACACCATGCTCGATAGAATTTAATATAATCGGTAAATTGGAAACATTTGCTCGAGATTCGGAATTCATAATAAGAGAAGCTGGCTTAGAATATCTCTTATTGGACAAGTTGCCAAAAAACAAATTAAGTCGAATAGGAAATCTAGCTAAAGGCGGTAAAACGAATATTTTAATGAAAATATACCTATCAGAAATCAACCGGACAACCTTCGATCAACTCTTAAACATATACCGTTGGGATTTTGAATTATTTGATTATGATTTTAAAAAATATTACGACTACATTATACCGGATGTTGTCGAGGATGCAAAGAATGCCACTTTAAAACCAACGATGGATGTGAAAAATTATACCGCAACGAAAATGTAAAGAACATGGAAACCAAATAGTATTAAATATCGAAATCACACCCGAATTTCTCTATATATATTTTTTTATTATATTATTCTTTATTGATTTCTAAAAATGGAAAATTTAAAACTCTACCAAAAACTGTAAGCTAAACCAGAGTCATCCCAAGTACCTTAAAAAAAAAAAAAAAAAAAAAAAACTCAAAATACAAACTCATTTGAGGCAAAATCTAAGAGAACCAAAAATTTTTATATAAAGAACTTATCTAATAAAAAGGATAGGCGTTTTATTAGCAAAAAAAAAAAAAAAACAGATGGAAAAATGGATTACAAATTTTAATTAAATATATTAAAAGAATGATTTAAGTTATAAAACACCGACATTAGTTCGGCTTGTAATTGCTTTGTACATTTGAGTCGCACTTCCCCTGTTTGCTTTCTATTTCTCTTATTTATTTGTTCATTTCTACATTTTTATCGCATTTTATATTTCATCCCCGTTCTAACAACACTTTTAATGTTTGATGAATTCTTTCAAGTTGAAAAAAAAGTAAAAATATAACATAAAAAAAAAAAAAATTTTTTTCATATTTACACTACGAGAAAAACTACAAATTTAACCTATTTCAGTATACAAATTAAATTTTATGAATAAAATTAATTGTAAAAATATATTAATAATAAATATTTGAACCACCTTCTTTTACTATATATGATATATTCAACGAAAATAAAAATTTAATAAAAACTATTGTTGTTTTTCATTGAGAAATAATTTCCCTGAATAAATTAAAATAATTTTGACCGAATTTAGTCTTTAAACCTGCGCGGATTTTGAAAAGCCATTCTTGTAACGTTTCGCTTACAATGTACAAAACAGAGGACACTCAAAACGGCATCTTGAGAAAACTGATTGAACATAAATCCCAAATATTACAGAATCACGACGAATGGCGTCTGGCCACTTGCTTATTCTATGGTGAATGCTTCACGACACGTTCTGCTTAACCCCTTAAGCCAGAGCTATCCTTTAAGCTAGGAACCTTGCTTGTGAAAATAAACTCAAAACTGTTATAGTGGCTGATAGTGTTCCTGCGTTAAAAGCTAACCGGAATCACTGTTATTGTCACTAATAATCTATCTGTGTTAAAAGCTATCCGGAATCCCTGGGCTTCCGGCTGGACCAGAAATACTATCGCAACATGAGATGACAAAATTAAATCGCTTTGGCAACTTGGTCATATTGGTTAATTGGGAAATGGACAACATGCTGATCGAGCAACAACATCATCGAAAAGTTGCACCTTCAAATAAATATTGGAAAGAAAATTAAAGGAAAAAATTATGGAAGGGAATCTACGAAACTATTAATAGCTACGGCCCACCATTAAGTACTTTGCTTCGACATGCTTAATACAGTTATTCGTACAGCGTATTTTCAAAACAAGGTGTCATATGAGAAGTGGCCCCATCTGAACGATTTCCAACAGCGTTCGTGGGCCAAACATAACGGCGTACCAAATTTCGTCAATACTTTTTAAAAATTATGGTCTATAGGTTGAACACAAAAAAGAAGAAGACGGACACACGAAGAGACATGGTTAGGTTGACTCAGGATATGATTCTGAATCGGCCAATAAGTGGATCTATTCTCAAGTTTTTCTAAACTTTGTTGAATAAAACCTTGCATCAAAAATTATATTATTATAATAATAATAATTATAAAATAAGGCTTAATAGTGCTGCCGAACTATGATAGGTTCTTAAAGAACAATCTCTTTCACATAGCCATAAATTTCCTGAATTAACATTGATGTGCGCTAGATAGGGGCAGTGTTTAATCAAAGTCGAAAAACATTGCAAATATTTACCGACCGTTAAAACAACAAACAAGCTAACGATATTGTTTTAACAGTTATCTTTAATTAAGAAACGAAAGAAAATCGCTAATAAAAAAAATGTTCTACACAACTCTGCCGTGCCCATTGAAATATTCAATCATGTCTTATGTTCAATAACCACTAGATTCTAAATCGATATTTTCAACAAATATATAGCTTGCTGCAAAGTACCTGTAACCTGGGGTATCCATGTGGAAAACACGCCTATTTTCGGCCTATTTTAGGACAATAAGCAGTCAAAACCGAAACAATATTTTTCGGTGAAATTAGCAAAATTTATAATTGATTTTAAGGAATATTTATACTTGTTATTTCTCATACTTACTCGATAACACGGTTAGTAAGAAGATATAATCCGAGAATGTTATTAAGCCGTACGAACCCAATTTGTAGAATATGCTATCTTTCTCCAGCTTTAAATTTAAACAATCGCCAACAGACTTTAAGAAATTGAAGGGTAAAACAAGTGCACACAAAGAAAGAGATAAAAATAAAGTAATATTTTAATTATTACGAGATTTTAAATATTTAATAAATATTAGGAAAATAACTACAAGTTAATGTATACCTTTCCAGAGGCTTGCTGTATGTAGGATGATATGTTTGTATATAACATTATGCACGTTTATAGAGAATAAGTATATACAAGGAAATGCATGAAACAGATAAGTAAAATAGAAAAAGTTAGAGCAGTGGTGGCTTCATAACACAATCACACTTGAATTAAATTAATTGTACGGGATGACAAATATATATATATATGCAAGTTTATGCATTGCTATCAGTATTAAAAGGAATTAAGTTTTTTTTTCTAATTAGTCTGGAATTAAAATAACTAAATTTCTTAATCTGTTAGCTTTAGGTTAAATATCTTTATTAAATTATACTTTATTAATTACCTTTGGATCATAGCGTTTGTATTGATCTAAACCCAAACCTGAAATATGAGAAATAAATAGGAAGAAAGTCTTAGCCACTCAAAAAATGAGATTTATAAACACATCGAGTTCATTATATATTTAATTTATTAGTTAATAACGCCAACGTACCCTCTGGATGCTTCATTCCAGGTGTCATGCTTGTTAAAAAATCTACTGGTGTCATAAATATCTCATGACGATCATCAGCGGTGGGTACTTGTATGGTAGCGAAATAACGAAATACTTTGTCAGGCGTAGAAAATTGTCGAATACGATTTTCATATTCAATGATCTGGAGATGCGAATACCCAGAGCAAAAAATGAAGACTTATTTATTAAAGCATCCAAAATTAATACCATAAAGACGGTTTCAAAAAGTGATTAAAATGAAGACAAACATAAGGAAAACGTAAAATCACGAAACTGCTCTGTTAGGTCAGTTTTAAGAAAATCCCCCATTAGTTGAAACAAAGAAATAAAAGTAAAGCAAAACAAAGCGTTTAAGCCCGGCAAATCCGAGCACTAAACACCCCGTACCATAGTTTAAAATGAGGATTTTAATAATATATTACTTGAGCTTAAAAAAATAAATTAGCACGGCCCAAACTTAGGACAGTGGATTTATACGTCAAGCAAAAGTTCAGAGTCAATTTTCGTAATAAAATCCTAAAAATTGCATCTGGTTCCCGTCAGTTTAATATGCCAAACGACTAGCTTTCATCTACTTTTGCCGAGAAACATTACAGATGGCATGTTCTTCATTCATTCAAGGACTTTCTCCAAATGGAACTCAATATAAAAATGACTTGGTCCAATCTATTTTAGCATGATTCTTCTTAAGCCAAAACATATCAGTGTACCAAATATTAACCCGTGAGTTGACAAGAAATATATATGGATAAACATCGGACGGTTATAATGTACCATGCAGTGCAGAGTAAAAAGAAAAAAATTAAAAATTTACCGTCAGGTTGTTTGAAGCAGGGACAAATTGAACGTAAAAAATCGTCTGGCGTCATGAGGATGGCAGTATGTTCAGGTGCGATTAAACGTACTGTGGCAAAATAACGAAACACTTTATCTGGCGTCGAAAACTGACGTATACGATGTTCATATTCAAGTATCTGAATATTTTTAAAAAACGATAGTGACAATTAACTTATGAAAAAAACCTCTTAAAAAATTAAAAAAGTTAAAACCAATTAAAAAATATAAATTAATAAATGAATATCTACCTTACGTTCCCTAAAACCAACTTTCTCTTTTTTCGCTTTTGTTGCTTTGACGGCTTCTTTAGATTCTTCATTTTCCGAATTATCATCATCCTCGTCTAAAAGTTGTTGTTGCTTATTTACTCTATCCTCTGTTACTATTGTTTCAGTATTTTTTCGCTTTTGTGAAATTTCCGTATATTCCACCCCAGCATCAGCATCAACTTTGGGCGTAAGCATCTTTTTGAGCCTAATTTCACCCGGAGAACGTATAAGTCACAAACTTTGAATGATTTTAACATTAGCAAAACTTACTTTTTGAAATCTAACAAACTTATAACGACTAACGAGCCCACCACAAAATGAAAGATTTTAGTAAGATTAGGTGTTTTCTCCTCTTTATGTCCAAAGTTCTTGTGACCTCGACTGTTCCATAAAACGTTATTTAAGGGACGGTTGATGAATCCTGTGGAAATTGGTGCTAATAAACTGAAGGCATTTATTACGGCATGATGTTGCTGCCGACTTATTAGAACACCACATTGCCTTAAAACGGACATTAGCGCGATGTTTGCCGAACTTAAGCGTTCCAAGTGTCCTAATTAAGCCAAGTTATAAAAGAACACTTTAAATATCCTGTTTTATGAAAACGACGACTTGATTGAAATGGTTGATTTTGCTTCAATCAGCTGATGGCAATACAATCAAACATAAGAAATAAAAACAATAAATAGCAGAGGGCAGTATCGACACTGTTGCCGCGATCACTAACATACGTCTGAAAAAGAGATGCTGTGATGAGGTTTTTGGGATCCTATGTCTAAAACGTAAAAAAACATTTTAAGTGAAAGCGTGAGAATCGCATACATTTTAAAGGTCCCACCACTTTATCTTTCAGGTCATCGCTTTCTAATGCAGGGTGCAGTAACAAAATCGGAAACATAAATAACAAATTGAATTAATGCTATCAAGCTATAATGTCAACAAAAATTCAAACATGCAATGCGTAAACGCGGCGCTGTCAAACTATAAATTATTATTAAAGTAAACTAAAAATTACAGAAACCAGTTTTTCTTTGCTTTTCCCAATAAAAAATCTTTTAGTTTAATTTCAATGTTTGGTGCTATTCGACAATTTGTTTTATAGTTTTCCTGTTACAACTTGCGGCATTGCCAGCTGTTTTTATATATTTTTACAAGGATTGCATCCTTTAAGAGAATCGAACCACTGAAATGTTTTTAATATGTTTTTAAAAGATTTCGAAAACTTTGTACGACGCAATTATCCTTTTTTAAACTCTGGAAATCATTGTCATACAGACCGATTTCTTCTCTGGAGGTTAAATCAGCAGATGAAAGACCTAGGATCAAGTAAAAGTTATAAAACCTCAAGAATATACTTTATTCGATGGGTAAGAATCGACACGAATAGTTGAAAACAAATGTTTACTTCTCTCAACGCTTCTGATAAAATATACCACTCAAAGCTTGCCTAAAGTCGCTTTAGTTGTATTTGAGTCACCTTGAGAGGAGAATAGCATTGGCTACTGCAGTCGTATTAATAAATCTAACATTTGTTTTTTGAGATGATATTTTGAAGGGCTTTCGTACTACAGTCCAAAGTTCTCTCAGAAAGTAGACGCGGACATTTTAGTTCAGATAATGGAGAGTTAAGTGGTATTCAAATTAAATACAAGTGTCTCAGAGTTATGTTTATTCTGGAGCTTCTTGCACCCCGATTAACTTGAGACGAAACGTTTAGCGAGAATAGTTCCTGTGAGAATGTGAAAATACATTCTTTGGTAGTTTGACTTGGACTGGCATATCGTAACACACCTGTGCACTAAAGATTGACCCCGAGTAAATGGAGATGTTAACTTTTCCCCGAAAATGATCGTAAGAGTCCATATATGAGTATTTAACCATAAATAAATATATATACTAATATACGAATTAATTTACTGTACAGAGTTAAATAAAGAGCTTCACGGTCCGAATGTAAATTTCCAGTCATATCTATATGTATAATAATATATATAACATTAATGCAATTCTCAAAGATAACGATATTATTATATTCATTCTTTATTCGGGTCCATTATATAGGTTTAAAACATTAATATAACTGAGTTTATTTTCGGTTTCATATAAATCTAATTAGGAATCATAAGATATTGCTTTATTTTTTTTTAAAGACATCTAACAAAAAAAAGTTAACTAAAAATATATCAACAACTATCTTCGGGTATATAGCTCGCAATAAATATAATTCATGGATTAAAACGAACAAGCAGATGGCATCCAAATACGCGTATTTCGTAAATGTGTATACCTTTAATTGCTCTACATAACAAACCATAAAAGCTGGATGAAATAAAATAATTTTATACAAAGAAAATACGAAATTTAAGTTTAGGTAAGGTTAAGATTTGCAAGCAAATGTAATTAAGCCAGCGGTTGGCCCATTTTTACTTTTGAAATAAATGGAAAGATGAACAATCAACTAATCTCAATTGGACTTAAATTTGTGGCGATCTGAATGAGAGTTATTCATGAAATCAATTGTAGATGAGCGAGGCAGTGCATTGCAAATCATTGTGTACAATAAGGAAAATAATTGTATGGAAAAATAAATCGAAGTTAAGTAACAACATATGCCAATAGTAAGAAAGAGATCGAATATTGCCGGCTTAACACGATAAATATTTAAATTTGCGTTATGCCCTTCGTATAGCATGAAGTCTGGGTCACGACCTTCTGGCTTATCGTAAATGATCTTAATATTTTGTAGATATTTTTCAAATCCATTCTTTAGGTCGTTATTATGCAAAGCCGAGCGCATATTTAAGTACGTCTTAATCAAAGTGGAATTTATTTGCATCTCTCCTGATAGTATTTCATACACCTCGCCTTCGGTAGCGTTCAGAACAGTTGAACTATAAATATATGTCGATAAAGTTTCAGCTATTATTTTGGCGTTGATTGCTGCATGTTGGAGTATATCAGTTTCATTACGTTTAAAGATTGTGTTACGTGTGGGAGATTTGGCAGAGCTAAGTGCAGACAATGTAAACGCCGGCAACCGTTTAATGCTAAAACGTTCGTGCTCCCAAGCCAATACTTTATCAGCTAAATTGATTTTCTTATGCACACCTTCGATCGTAATGTTATAATATTTTAAGCCAATAATCTTTAAATACTTAAAAAAATTGCTTAACGGAGTACTTTCTTTGGGCGGCTTCGAAACGTGTAAAAACAATGTGTTATTTTCTTCCGCCTGAGCAAAAGCTTCAGTTATGGTGTCCAAACATAATACGAATTCGATATTTTGCAACTGATTGTTTTCATCTAGCCATTTTTTAATCCCCTGAAAATTCAATATTTGTCCAGATTCAGACAATAAAAACAGCAGACGGTACTTTGGTATGGCATTGGTCATATTGTGTAGTTTACTGAATATGTCGGCTAAAGCCATCAAAACGGCAGCATCAACGTTTAATGGATACTCGTTATACAAACCGAATGTTTTAAGGTGAGCTGCTATCACTATTGAAGGCACTTTACTGCTTTGTTCCAGGTTAACTTCTGCGCTTTTTTTAGGTTGCTTGTACGGAGCTAACTCGCCTTGAATTATGGGAATTTTTCCGTTTTTATTTGCCGTATGACTAGCACCACTAATCACGACTTGATAACCGTTCGCTGATATAAAATTAAAAATTTCACTTAACGCTGAATCACCACCTGCTCGGTTATTGTGATGATTTTGCCTGTTCGTTACCGAAGTGGAACGTGTTATATCGTCAATAATGTTTTCTAATTCCGGATTGTAGACGGAGAAATATACCGGTATTGAAATAGCCTCTGCCATCATTGCCTGTTCCAGCAAATTGATGTGATCTTTCTCTTCTCCCGACATGGACGCAACATCTTGCGGCAGCAATAATACCAAGCCACCAGCCTTTTGACGTATTTCTTTCAACCCATCTATCGTCATATCCTGAAGACGAGCTACAATGCAATGCCGCGCTGTTTTCCAGCTATATAAAGACCTAGCCTCTAAAGTTAACGATGACGACCGGCAACCAAAAGACACCCCATTTAAGTCAAATTGAGTCATACGATGAACTGCAAACTCGCTGGAGGCTAACACTGGATTTGACGAACACAAGATGAGAATGGGCAAAGTCAATAACAGATAGTAAGGAAGACCTCCGCGGAATATATCAGCAAAATTATCAGCTTCTTCGAACATTTTTCTACAAACGCTATCCAGATAGTTTGATGGCACCTAAAACGTCAAATTTAAAGCGCGTTTTAGAAAATGTAGAATATTTCTTATTAATAGATGAGCCGAAAATTTGCCTTAATTAATAATAGAACATGCCGTGTGCTTCACGAAAAATTAGCGTTACCGGATGTCGGGAAAATTTGAAAAAAGTGGAGACAGCATATCATATGGTCAAACCACATAAAATTTCTGTTCGCTTTTCAAGCTTTGAAATGTTTGTATATTCCTAATAATGTGAGGTTTAGTTAGCACCCTTTTTTTGTAAAATTGGCACAGCAAAAGCGAACACCGGAAGTTGAAAATTGGGGAGTACATTGACAATGATGCCAAAGGTAAAATTGCCAACAGATATGTACAATGCACAAGAAGCTAAAGCGATCTCTGAGAAATCGTATAGTTTATTTCTTATTTTCGTTTCTTTTCGAAAAGCTTTTACCCAGATATTTGACAGAATAGCTGCCGTATTTCTTCGTGTTGTGTTATGTGTTTATTGAAAGATTTTTAATACTAACACCTTAGTAGTGTTTAATATGATTGTGTAAACAAGGTACTGTAGTTTGACAAAATGTTGTTTATTAACATTTTTTTATGATAAATATAATTTTAAGGCACGCGAGGTACAAATACGTATTTCACTTTATTACATTTATTGCATACATATGATCTTTTATTTTCTTACCTTTTTGACAGGGATTGTCAATAATTTTGAATTTTTTTTTATTAAATGTCTTCAGTTACATTCCTAACAAGTGGTTACTTAAAGCGAGAAAGTTGAAATAACGTACTCGGTAGTTCTGGTGTTAATTCCTTATTTTATTGATGAATTGAGAGATTCATGCACTTTTATACTAATTTTTTTATTTTTACTTTTTCAAATGTAGTTTTTTAACATTTGCATTATTCCTTGTTTTAACTTCCCAAACAAAATGTTAGTTGCTTATATTTATAGGGAGCTCTTTGTGTTTACCTCTCAAACGATAGGCTAAACCAGGTTCGGCATTTTATGCATATTATTATATGCGGCCTGATAAGCAAGCGGGGCCAGCAAGGATATCATGTGGTTTCGGGCATATGTGGGAGAAACAGTTGACACGAGTAACGATTTTTAAAACGTAGTGCATTTTCAAAATATAGTTGCTCTATACAAAACCTTAAAAAAGAAAAAAAGAATTTTTTTTTTGTTTGCAATTAAAGCTTTTAACATCTCTGCGTTTAAATGAATAAACTTAACGAATATTTTTCCAGGTATGGCCACTCGTTGTTTTCAATGTGCTCAACTTAAACTTAATAAGAAAGACAACCAGTCAGCTGCTAATGCACAGAAAAAATGAAACAGCTCATCTAACACTCTAACGGCCGTTACGTTTTAATTTATACTGATACAGGCATGCAATAGAGAATAAGAAAGTAGTGAGAATTTGAAAAAAGAGTAAATAAAAGCAAAGACATTAAAAAAATAGTAAAAGTACAAATAAATAAATAAACAAACTTAATATACCGCAAGGCATTCGTTGCACTTTTTTTTCTCTAGAAATTTTGCGAATCTTTAGCTCCTCATTATTTGTTATACTATTTATTGCTACGAAACTTCGGTTTTTATTTTTTAAGATAAGTCGTAAAATGTACTACATAATAGGCCAACGTTGATATTGGCTACAATTTTCCATTTCTGTTTAAATATTATTTAAGAAAACAAGGAAACAATGAATTATGTTTTTGAAGAGTGCTGATACAATTATAGTGATGACGTGTGCTACGTCACTGCTAATGAATATTTTAAGTTTATCATTTAGTGCGTTTGCCACTGTACTAAAGTAAAAAAATTTTGTGGCATAAATCTGAGGGTTAATTGCGTTCGTGCATTCGTCATATTTCGCGTCCTTTTTATGTTTAAAAACCTTAGCGTAATAAATTTTTATCTTGATTCTTGTAAATAGAGCTCTTACAAAAACGGTTTTATGTTTTTTTAAAGCGGTTTAAGAAATTCTTCAGGGCAGTTGATATACGTACCATTTACACCGCTTGGAATATAACTCGCTTGTTTGAAGACGCTCGACAGCAAACAGCGAAAGACCAGATGCTCATGTGTGACGAGTGCATCTCCCATGCAAAACAATCATTATCCGTAGCTATCGGTGTAATGTGGACTGTATTTTGCTTATGCGTAGGTACATCCAGGACTAATGGTACGCAGAGATAAAACACCGTGTCTAATATTTCCACGTTTAAGTCAAAAGTACACAGATACTACTTCCTCTACTCTACTGCTCTAGCGGGCTTGTGGATGAGCTGGTTATTCTTCTTTTTCCTACTAAATCTTTACATAGTCGTGGCAAACATTTGAGCTAATGTGCGATATAAATTGTAAGTTACAAGTCTTAGGATCATCGCTGCCCGATCAACCGAATTTCGAAAGTTGATTTTTGACGATAAATTATCATAAATATGGGCACATACGTCCATGAATTTTCGATTGTTAGGTAAGAGGCGAATTTAAAAAACATCGTTCACCTACGGCCCTGTATTAAAAGGGTTCATGACTAATTTAACAGCCTTTCTCAATTTTTGCGACTGTGAGCTTTCTAACAATATACTGTAGGCGCGTAAACGGATGGATTGACGGATATGGGTAAATTATTTTAATATAGGCTATCTTATGTGTATTTGTGGTTGATACAAGGGGGAGCACGCTGCTATTTACAACGTAGTGTACTCAAAATTCGCTTCAGATCTTATTGCAAAGCGTTAATGTTCTTTTACTGGGTGCCTATGGGCTAAGGTAAAGACCGCATACAAGCGTACATGATTCATCAGAAATTTGTACTGATAAACACAGGTGAGCAATTAGCACCGACAGTATGTCCGCGTAAAGCCATTAAAATAAAATTAAGAACACGAAACGTAATTGCTTTTGAAAGGCTCGGCGACGAAGTCCAACGTTAAGGATGACGTTAACTGGAATGAAAAATCTATTTTAAATTAACTTGTTGTAAAATTGCTCTAGATGAGGATGACTCGTATAATGAATCTTTAAGTATATACTCATCTTTTGAAGAGTTGACCTTGAAAAGTTTTGTATTATTGTTCTTATTGTTATTGAGTTGATTATCAGCAGAGTAAATACCGGACTAACTGCCGGTCACTTAGTTTTATGTAATTGGTACGTGGATAAGCGGCATAAAAAAAAAAAAACAAAACTAAAAGAAGGGAATTGTAAATACTCGCTTTTCTTTGAATACTTGTCTAGCAATGGTTAGAAGACAAGAGGAAATGTTATATAGTTTTTACGGGTAGCTTATCGCATGAGCTAACTTTATGGCAGGTGAATGAGTCAAACGTAATCGGTTGAATGTGAGAAAGAACAGGGGAGAGATGGAGAGAGAAAGAGATAGACAGCGAGACAGAGAGATGGGGTCAATTAGCAGAGAAAATCCATCAGACGCACTGTTGAAAGCGAAGCAATTTTATTTTAGCCGCAAACAAATAAAAAAGCAAAAACAGAAATAATAATTACTTAGAATTAAAGCAAAAAATCATTTCGAAAGGGTTTGAAGGATGAAGACAAAAGATGAAAACAAATGGATATTAGGATGCTCCAACTTTGCTAATAATATTGTAAATCATACTAAATACAGTTGTACGGACTGCTTGCGATCTCTTAACGTACAAAGTCCTCGTATGCATGTTACAGCGACTGGTAAAGTGTTGTTATGATAATAGTGCTTTTTTCGTACATAGTTAGGTAAACAAATAGATATCGAGTATCTTGTTTACACAAGTGGTAAGTACGTCAGTCAGAAATGTGCAGCAATTACATTGGTTGTTGTTTTTTGTTAAAACGAAAAGCTTACAAAAATAAAAACTAGAAAATCCTATGTTGTTCGTTTGCATGTCACTTGTCTCTCTTGGTCTGCTTTTTCATCGTATGGTGGTAACTTAGTTTTGTGATGCTATTTGCAACGTTGAGAACTATGCTTACTAAAGCAAATACAAAGTGTTTGAACCGAATTCGTTCGGTGGCATTAAATGTACCAGAGCTATAAATCTGAAACTAGCGTTTGCCTATAGAAAGCCTTAGCTCTCAATCTAGTCACTATCAAACCGACTGAATGGCGCCAGGTTGACATAAGGCAAGAGTTGCGCAAATTACAAACCTTAAAAGTTTCGTACCATAGTATCGAACATGTCGAGTTTTATGCCAAAAACAAGGGTAATCGTCCATAGCGTCGTTTCTTTGTTCGAACGATGAACGGACTATTGTATCGGACTACTACTAAGTATGAAAAGCGAATTTAATTCCAGAATTCCAGGCGTAAACAGTTCATGGATAGCTCAGGTGCACAATCCACATCTATCGCAAGGCCGAATGGTTGTGGCAAGAAAACGATACTCTGTGCTTGATGGGACAAGAAGGATGTAGTCTGTTAAAGTCCCAATGGTATGATACAACACTTTATCGATATGTGCGGTTCGCATTTAAAAAACGCTCAGAATATCAAAAAAATCGTCTCGCAACGGGCCCTTTTTTTTGTACAATTTGTTCACTGTATCTTGGAAACATTCAACTGGGAAATGCTAGTCCATGCGTCTTACTCACCAGGCTCCAATTCTTTCGAATATCACCTGTTTCCATTGATAGTTCACGCATTTCTTATGCAACGCTTTCGTTTGCACGAATATGTGGAAAAAAAACAACGCAATGAATTGTTTGCGACAAACAACAAATTGTGAGAACAATATGTGGAAAATGAATAATTGGCGACGGTCGAGAGTTCGAAAAAAGATATTTCAACGTTATACCCGATTGTAAGACTGATTATAACAATACGTTTACATACTTTTTTATGCAGCCTTGTAAATAAATCTTCGTAGCGTTAATTGCCAGGATGTACGTAAAAAATCGCTCATAGTAGATATGACGAAAAGTTTTGTTTCTCCGGATAAAGGGATAATCGTTTCGAAATGTGCAAGATACCCTACATCAGGTGTGGGGCGAGAGTATATTTAGAAAGAACCCTTTTCTGAAATGATTCAAGGTTGTCGGGCTGTTTGCCCACCTTGGACGCCTGAAAGGCGTAGCTTTGACCAAATTTGACGCGTTTTGGTGCAAGGAAGTACGCTACTGAAAATAGGCACGA